TAGATAGGAACCCTCAGTCTGGGGCAAGTGATGCTCTGTATTCTTGGTGCTTGGGGGGGGGGCAACAGTGGGAGGGCTTCTAGTGTTCTGGCCCCACTGCTGGACCTCCTGATGGCACCTGGTATTTTGGGCCACTGTGTGACACAGAGTGTTGGATGGGCCATTGGCCTGATCCAGCATTGGCTTCTCTTATGTTCTTATGTCTGGGGCAAGGGATGCTCTGTATTTTTGGTGCTTCTGTGGGGGGCAACAGTGGGAGGTCTCCTAGTGTCCTGGCCCCACTGCTGGACCTCCTGATGGCCCCTGGCATTTTCGGCCACTGTGTGCCACAGAGTGTTGGATGGGCCATTGGCCTGATCCAGCATTGGCTTCTCTTATGTTCTTATGTCTGGGGCAAGGGATGCTCTGTCTTCTTGGTGCTTGGGGTGGGGGGGGCAACAGTGGGAGGGCTTCTAGTGTCCTGGCCCCACTGGTGGACCTCCTGATGGCCCCTGGTATTTTTTGCCACTGTGTGACAGAGCGTGGTTGGACTGGATGGGCCACTGGCCTGATCCAATGTTGGCTTCTCTGATTTTCTTATGATGGGCCAGCGGTCCAAGTTACCCTGAGGCACCGTCAGGTGTCCCCACCATCTGCCCAGGCCTTTTCCTTCTGCCCACATTGAGTTGCGTTGTGTGCAGATGCAGAATCCTAGAAAGGAAGCTGACTGGCTTTCACACGCCCCCCCATCCCTCTTTCGATTAAACTCCCCCTCCCGTGGGGGAATAGGAAATACCCAGGCAGCCCCAAGTGAGGGACAGACCTCAGAGTCCCGGGGCTGGGACACCTGTCGGTTTCTGGCTGTTCTGGGCCACTTGGGACTACACAGCTGCTCTCCTGGATGGCATACAGGGGGGGTCTTCTCTGCCTGCTTCTCAAAAGGTTTTCCGTTTATTTACAAAATGTATATCCCACCTTCCCGCTGTGGCAAAGGCTACAAAGGTGTCCCACCGTTGGGAAGCCACTCGTTTAACGTGGCCACAGCAAAGGACAGGGCCACCCAGAGGTCCCATTCATGCGCACCTGCCTGAATCCACTAGACCCCCTTCCAGAAGATCGGGGCAGGCTCAGGGATCCCTGCAGCTCAGCTTTGCTAGGGAACACTGGACCTGGGCTCTGTTTTCAGAACCAGGACTCAGCTGTGGTCATGTGAAGTCGTGCTACTATTTGTACTACTACCACCGCCCCTCTGAGCATGTGCAAAGAGTCTTTCCTTCTCCACCAGCTTCCACGTTTCTGGGATTCAGGAAGGGGAGGTAGGTCAGCGGAGAGGAGGACCAGGTGAAGACCGCCCACCATCCCTGCCCACTTGCCATGCGCCTGCCCCAGTGGTGGTGGTGGGCGAGGATGGCTCCCAGCCCACCTGGCCAGGCAAGATATCTTTCCTCTTGACCAGGGCCTGGGAAGGGGGACACGGCCCAAGAGACCCCTGCTCTGGCTTCTCGGCCTCCTTTTGAAGAGAGAACAAAAGGCCCCGGCCACAGCGTCCCGCTTCTTCCCTCATTAAAAAGAGAACATGTAGCTTCCTTTATTGCATCACAGGGACCACAGGTCCTCCTGGTGCTCCTTCCAATAAATCAAAGGCCCAGCGAGAGAGGAGGAGGCATCTTTGTGTCCCCCCCCTCCTCTGCTCCTTCCTCCTCCTCCTCTTCAGGGTTGCAGGACCCGTTGGTGTGGCGCGACCAGGCACCCGTGGCTACTCTGGTGAGTTGCGAAGGGAGGGAGAATCCGGGAGAATCCCGGCCCAGAGGTGGCCGGCCAGCCAGCCTCATGCGTCGCCTCCCGGCTTCTGCCTCTCTTGCCCCCCCCCTTCCTTAACTCGGGGGGGGGGGAGAGGGGGGGCGTTATGGAAAGGCCGGGCAGGAGGCGACTCACAACAGCGTCACTAAATCATTCTGTCTCCGCGCTGTTCCCGGGAGAGAGGGTTTTTTTTTTTTTGATGGATTAAATTAAGCGCTTCCATTTCCGTCCACCACCTGATCGCTGCATTATAAATCCGAACAGCTGATCCGCGGAGCCTCAGAAATCCAGGACCCCGCGACGACGGCGGAGGAGGCTGCGGCAGCCAGGCGGACCGGGAGCTGTCCAGTGCTGAAGGAGGAATCCCCGGCCGGCCGGCAGGCAAGGCAGGAAGCACCGCAACGCCATCCAGCCAGCCAGCCAAACCAACCAACCAA